TCCCTGCCCACCATACACTTGGCCCTCACATACACTAGTGGTAACTGCAGCCTAGTGGGAGTGACCCCCAATTATCTCCCATCAGACATGCCCTCAGCCCTGGTTCCTGTGCGTGCTAGTATTTACAGCAGACTGCTCTAGTCTGTCCTACATCCCCTTTAGCTCTTGTACACATCAGTGGATGTTTTAACCTAGCTCAGCCTGACTTACCCCACTATCTAGCCCACACTCATGCCAGCAGGTGGCACTGCCTATCCAGTGAGTCATGCCCTAAGCCTTGGTTCTCATGCTCCCCAGTGGGAGCTGCAGCCCATCAGAGAGGTGCCCACAATCTCCCCACTAAGCCCCACTCCCAGCCCCAGATGTTGCATTTTCCAGGTAGTTATATGATCTAGCCTGACAGGACTTGCCCCAGTCCTAGCACCTGGCAGCCAATGCCACTCTGTCTGCCTCCAACCTCAGCCTTTATGTGTGCTGATAGATGTTGTGGCCTATCCCTTCCCACACCCAATTCTTGGGTGTGCCTATGGGTGCTACAGCCTGGACCAGTCTGGGCTATTCCCAATCCCAGCATCCGTAAGTTTTGATGAGTTTCATGGTCATATCTAGCTCAGCCTGTCACCATTCCCAGCCCTCAAGCAAACCAGTTGGTATGGCAGTCCCACCGGGCTGAGTCCATGGTCTCCCACAGAATCTGTTCCCAAAAGCAGATTACCTACATGAATTACAGAATCTTAGGCACTTGAGCCATCTTCTGTTGCTTTTTCCAAGTGCATTAGCAGGAAGCAAATTCAGAAATGGAGCAGCCAGGACTCAAACAGGCATACATGTAAAATGATAACATCAGAGGTAGCTGCTTTAACAACCCATAAGATTCCATATTGCTTCACAATTTTGTCAGAATGTGCTAGTTTTTCTCTTTAAATATTTTGGTGGGTTGTATTATGTCTGTATCTTCTGATTTCATCTGCCTAATGACTGTTAACACCAGCACTATTTCATGCTTAATCACCTCTTAGAAATCTTTTGTGTATTGCTTATTTGTATATGTTTACTTTTCATTTTTTATTTTGATCATTGTCTATTATATGATGTTTTAAAAAACGTATTTAATATTTAATTTCATTGTAGACTGCAAATATTATCAGGTCATTCTCCTTTCTGAAGTTTTCATTCTCTTAATGGTGTAATTTTGAATCTTCAATTTTAGGATATCCTAATGTATCAATATATTTCTTTATAATCAGTATATTTTGTATTATTACTTTAATGAAGTTATGAAGAGAATCAGTATTGTGACTCTTTTGGAGTTCTTACAAATATCTGGAAGCATTAGGGTCTTACCTATCATCTATTTGCAGCTGATTTGTTTGTGTGGTTTAATAAAAAGTCAAGGTTAAATTTTTCGTTTCTAAAATTGCATGATTACCCTTGGGCCAGTTACTAAAAATTATTATATTTATTTTATTTATTGCAGAGATATCTTTGTTACAAATACAATGACATAGTCTATGGCTTTTATGTGTGACAGTGTGTATTCCCTTTTGCTCCATTGGTCTCTTTTCTGTCTGCCTTAGTACCATCTCAGCTACTATCTTTTTATAATAAGACCTATTTTAAATGATGCCATTTTTTGATATTATAATGCACTATTGCTCCATCACTTCAGTAACTTTTTTAAGATATTCCTTATTTGGGGGCCCGGCGCGATGGTGCAGTGGTTAAGGTCCTCGCCTTGCACATCCGGGATCCCATATGGGCGCCGGTCCTATTCCCGGCAGTCCCGCTTCCCATCCAGCTCCCTGCCTGTGGTCTGGGAAAGTGGTCGAGGATGGCCCAAAGCTTTGGGACCCTGCACCCGAGTGGGAGACCTGGAAGAGGCTCCTGGCTTCGGATTGGCTCAACTCCAGCAGTTGCGGCCACCTGGGGAGTGAATCATCGGACGGAAGATCTTCCTCTCAGTCTCTCCTCCTCTCTGTATATCCGTTTTTCCAATAAAAATAAATAAATCTTTAAAAAAAAAGATATTCCTTATTTTTTACATTTTTTGCACATATTTTAGAATCATCACATTCCAAGAACAGAGCCCATATTGTGGTGCAAGAGATTAAGCTGCTGCCTGTGCTGTTGGCATCGCCTACAAATCATAGCACCAGATTAAGTCTCTGTTGCCCCACTTATGACCCATCTCCCAGCTGATGTACCTGGGAAAGCAGCAGAAGATGTCACAGGTGCTTGCGTACCTGCTAGCCATGTGGGAGACCCAGATGAACTTTCTGTCTCCTGGCATTGGTTTGTCCTAATTCTGGCCATTGCAGCATCCTGAATTTGTAATGCAGGTATCCCAAGTGGTCACCTAAACTGCCATGCCAACATTCAAGATGTTTTTTTAAGAGAATTATTTTTTATTTGCTTGAAAGGCAGAGTTAGAGAGAGAGAGAGAGAGAGAGAGAGAGAGAGAGAGAATTTCCTATTTGCTGGTTAATTTCCCAAATGGCTGCACTGGGCAGGGCTTTGTTAGACTGGAGCCAGGAGATTCTTCCAGATCTCCCAGTGGATCTTAAAGTAAAGAAGAAATGGATCTTAAAGATGAAAGGAAAAATCTTGGCCATTATTGCCCCCAAATACAGTATTTTCCCCATCTTTATGTGCCTTCTTGTAGTTCAGATACACTCATGTTACATCTTTTGTATATGTGTGTCATGTCCTGTGTATCTGTTATTTATTTGATCAAATTTTCATCATGTTTCTTGCTGTACTTTAGTCTAATTGTCATTGACCTACCTTTTTTTAATTTATGCTGCTTTAGTTGGTTTTATTAAGCTGATAATATATTGTTCGTTTCATTTTGTTTTATTCATTAGTTCTAAAATTTCTATTTTCTGTTGAAACTTTATTATGCATCTGCTTGTCCTAGAATTATTAACTATATTTGTTGCAGTGTCTACAGATGAAATTTCATTTTGACTTGCTGTGAATTGCTTTCTATTTGTTTTTGTTCATTATTGTTATTTCTTTTACTTGTTAGTTGCTGATTGGATATTTGAAAATTATTTTAAATTGAAAATGTAAAATGCGTTTTCTCCATGTTATCTTCTGGGGAGAGCTTTCTTTTGATTTTGTGAAGCTTTATTTTTTATTGGAAAAGGAAATTTACAGAGAGATAGAGGGAAAGATCTTCCATCAACTGGTTTACTCCCTAAGTGGCCTCAACAGCCAGAGCTGCGCCAGTCCCAAGCCAGGAGCCTCATCTGGGTCTCTTATGCGGGTGCAGAGTCACAGGGAGCTGGATGGGAAGTGGAGCCACTGGGACACGAACCTGTGCCCATATGGGATCCTGGCGTGTGCAAAGCAAGGATTTAGCCCCTGGGCCATTTTTGTTTGTTTGTTTGTTTGGTGTTGAAGAAAAAGAGTCCTCATGTGTGTCTGGTGGAGCCAGAGGTTGGCGATGGACTGGACGGATCATCAGTTTGGATGTCCATGTCAAAGAAGACAAGCATGTCTCTTTCCATCTCCACTCACCCAGCCTGACAGTCAGAATTCTCTAACAGTGAAATAAAACAGATTTGAAACATCATGAAACAATGGAAAAATTATGAATATTGTCTCATTTTCCAGATTCTCAGAGAAAAAGAATCACATTTTAAGTTCCTTGATGGTTGTAAATAATTATCTTTCACTGTGGAAACTTTTCACTTTCACTTGGCTCTCAGTAGCTGAGGGTAATGCACCTGCAAATTCAACCAACCAATGATTAAACATACTAAACATACTTGAAACGGGGGCCAGCACTGTGACTCAACAGGCTAATCCTCCACCTTCAAGCACAGGCATCCCATAAGTCATTTTGATTTCTGATTAATTAGAAACTGGATCAGTTACATTAGAATCTTATGTTAATTTAGGGACAGAACTGGTTTGAAGCTGAGTTTTTCTTTTTCTTTTTTTGATCCTTGCTAGAATCTGTTTTCAGTTTGTGTTTCCCTAACATCTAAGTCTTTTTTTAGGTGCTTTGAAAACCTGACATATTTCCCTGCCGCTGGCATGCATCACTCTTTTCTCCACCTTTGATTACCTTTTTGGTTCCCAGTCCAAGTTGAAAACCATTATATTATTTGAGATCCTGTACTGGAGTTTTGAGGCCTGGTCTACTTCTTGAGTATACCTGGGTTCTTGCAGAATATTCTGGGCAGTCACTATTATGAACTGTTCACATGGATAGGCTTTGAACCTGTTTGTATTTCCCCATCTCTGGGAGTCTGCTCGTAGCCACCGAGCTGCTCTGTCCTCAGTTATGAAGAGCACGTGCCTCCAGAAGAAAAATTGTGCTGAATGTCTTCTGCGTGCTGTCCCCTCTAGTATCTTCACTCCTTAAGTCTTGGCTGGCTTCATAACTTCCCAGTGCCTTTAAAAATGGTCAAATGGAGAACTGGGTACGTTGTTTCAGCAGGCTAATCCTCAACCTTCAAACATCAGCATCCCATGTGTGCACTGGTTGGTGTCCTGGCTGCTCCACTTCCCATCCAGCTCCCTGGTTATGGCCTGGGAGGGCAATGGAAGATGGTCCAGGTGTTTGGGATATTTCACTCTCATGGGAGACCCTGATAAACCTCCTGGCTTTGAATCAGCTCTGCTCTGGCCATTGTGGCCATTTGGGGAGTGAATTAGTGGGTGGAGGTTCTTTCTGTCTCTCCATTTCTCTGTAAATCTGCCTTTTCATTCAAATAGAATAAATCTTTAAAAAATGTTAAAACAGTATAACTACTGTTTTTGGGTACTTTTATGGGGGGCGTTGGCTAGTCTGATAGAAATTAATCAACTTTGGACAGGAAGATAATTTTTCACAATTGAAACGATGTTACCATGTTGTATATGGCATCGGAACAGGGAAGTGAACATTCCAGTCTTCCCCAACACGAGAATATGCCATTGTTGAGCAGTGAATGATGACACTTATAGTGTTTAAGTATATTTATTTAACCATACTTTCTCTCACTTAGGTTGCTTAGCCAGACGATGAAGGATCATCTTGTAAGAGTAGCAAACGAAGCCGAGTTTATCCTGAGCAGGCAGAGAGCCGAGGATATTCACCGACATGCAGAGTTTGAAGTAAGTTATACATGCAGTTGGTACAAGATTACTGTTTATCTAATGTTAATCATGGGAAACTACCCAGATAAAATGCAGCATGGGCTAAGGAAACAATTTATGGGACCTGGAAGTGGGCTTTGTGAGAGTCATGGGGTCCTGAAAGTGAAACAAGCCTCTCCAGCTGTCTCTTCCCTGCTCCACTTCGCCACCAGTAGACTGGAGCACTGTCAGTCGGGCTAACCTGATCTTAACACGAATCTTAGTTCAGGGTTTCCCACCAAAAAAATTACCAAACAATCTCTTCTCCACTTGAGTAAGATAGAGCTAGTTAACTGGAAGTGAAAATCCCTTTGGAAAAGATACTATCTCTCAGCGTCCTAGAGAGGAACTGAACAGTGGTGTGAAGTTCTAGCCAGGAGATTTGAGAATACTGCAGTCTTTGTTGTTGAGGAGATGGGGGCACAGACAGTGGAGCCCCGTGACAGCCAATTCTGGAGCCGTTACTTATGTTTACAGTTGTACTTGAACATGTGTATGCAACCTGAAATTGTAAAGGAAATGGTTTTGTAGCAATAAACATAACCAAGGTACAGTGGGAGAATTGACAAGAAACATTTGTGAATATAATTTAAAATCATTGTCAAAGTTGTTTCTAGCATGTCAGGAGCAGATAAACTCATGTTGCTGATATTGGTTATTAAATTTGGTTTATAAGCCAGTATGACCTAAAAATTGTTCTAGAAAAATGAAGCTCCACAAGGTCAGCTTTGCTTTATGGATACAGAAGTGTAGCTTAAAGTGTAGCTAATAGAACCCATCAGTTTAATGGAAGAATTATTCAGGTGAGTACTGAGACTTTCTCCTGAAATTCAAACATGACTTCTTTTAATGTATCTACCTTCAAGATTAATTGTATCAACAAATAAGAAATACAGATGAGGGAGAAGCTATCAGCAAAACTGGGAAAGAATGATTTGATAAGTCTTAGCAGCCAGCCAGAATGAAACTCTAGTAAAAATTTTACACAGGAAAATAAATATGAAACTTTATTAAATATCACTTTACATGTTTATACCATTTATATTAAAATTGGAAAAAATAACTGATACTATTATTGATTAACATAACTTTTATGTTCTTGAAGCAGAATTTATAGGTAATATAAGTGCTAAAAAGATGAAATTATATTTTCAGATTCCTTCCTGCTGTGGTCTAGAGAAATCTGAACGAATCATTAATATTTTTCTATCACAGTTTACAAAAGAATTTGGGGGAGATTACTGGATACTTGATAATTACGTGTAAAAATTATGGATTCATTTTTCAGCTGAAACTGGAAAGAATAGTGACAGTTTTAACAGAAACAGGGGCCAAATTCTGCACGAATAGATACTCTTTGGGGAGAAAAAAGCCCTGCAAAATCTTGTCAAAGATTAGAAACCAAACACAGTAGTCAAATCATTTCTTGCTGAACAATATATTTGTGTTTTGAGCTTATTTCTGTGTTGTGTGTTTATGCATATGGAGAGAAGGAGGGAGAAAAAGAATAGATCAGTATTTTTCTTCTGAAATAATTTGAGACTTCAAAAAAAGGACAAGAATAAGAACTGTTCGCTGTTCTCCCAGATTGAGTCTGATTTTTCAATATTTATTGCTTTGCTTTTTGTTTTTTTTTTTTGTTTTTCTGAATTGGGGATTCAGGTAAGATGGGGATACTGTTAAGTATAAAATACTTCACTAGGAATTCCCTAAACACATTCTCTGCCTTCATCTTGTTGAGTAACCAAATAAAATGAACACCGGGACACTGCTGCCTGTGTGCTCTTGTTATTCAGATTCCTCATGTTGTTCTCACTGTATCTTTTATAGTCAAATTGAGAAGGTGTATTGTCACAAAAATATTTTTCTCGCATTAATATTTACATTCGATGCAATATTCATTAACATAACATTCTCGTATGGTAACAGTAGTGTTTGCATTTAAGTGTCACCTGTAAAACATGTAAAAGTGTAAGTGTTAAATTTGGATTTTCAAAATATCCATTTTCTGTGGAAATGTTCATGCTTTAAAATAGACTTGATATTTGCTTAAAATATAGTACTGGAAATATACTTGTCTTGCCAGATTTTAAATTGATACTATCAAGATAGAAAAAAAAATCTTCCACGTGGAGTAAGGATATAGGATAAAAGATGACACCAGAAAAATTTTATAAAACACATTTAAAAATTGAAAACCTGGAATTGAGCTATGTGTGAAAATTTAGTAACCAAAATGTAATATATGGAAGGTCCCATATAAGTAGTTATCTGACATGGAACATGTAGGTCAGAAAAATAGTATCAACAACTTGCAAAGACAATGCATGTGAGAGATAATTGTCTACTAGTAATAATACAGGTGAAATAATAAGAGAGAAAAATTAGTAGCCATGTGCTCAGACCATTTGAAAAGGAAATTCGAGGAAGAACCAAAGTGATCAGTAAATATATAAAAGGATAAATATTCAGGGCAATATCAACTAGAGAATTACTGGTCCACCACATTCTGTGTTCTCATATTAGGAAGTAAGGAACATGACAGTATGTACTGAGAAGGGGTTAAAGCAGTTAAGACAGTGCCATTCTTTTATGTTGCTAGCACAAAGTGTATTTTTACTCCAATGGAAAAGCAGTGGGACTACATTTATTAAAATATCCGTGGCTGTACTTGCATACTCACAAATATTTGCTTACCCAGATGTCCTTTATTGTGAATATGTCTTTTAGAAAGAAAAGTAGTGGTACATAACAATATTAGATAATCCTTTTTTACTGCAAGTTTATATGAAATTGTCAAAATAAAAATCAATTGAAGAAAAACAGGAGGAAATATTTAAGAAAACCCCATTATTTTCTAAAGACTAGGTGGTAAATCACAAAATAATTGAGGTTAATGGATTCATTTTTATAGGATTTATTTAAGATTTGTTACTTTTTATTTAAAAGGCAGATTTACAGAGAGAGGAGAACAAAATGTTAGAGAGGGAGGAAGGGAGAGAGAGAGAAAGAAAGAATCTTCCACCTGCTAGTTCACTTTCAAATTGGCTGTAATGGCTAGAGCTGAGCCTAGCCGAACTGAGAAGCCTGGAGGTTTTTCTGAGGCTACACATGGATTCATGGTCCCAAGGACTCGGACTATCTTTTGGTGCTTCTTCAGCCATGTTAGCAGGGAGTTGGACTGGAAGTGGAGCAGCCAGGACTTAAACTGGAACCTGTAGAAGATGCTGGCACCACGGTTGGAGTGTTAATCTATTACACCATGGTGCCAACCCGTATTTATTTATTTGAAAAGTGGTGAGGGAGGGAAGGGTAAGAGAGAGAGAGCGAGTGAGAGAGACATGCATACAGGAAGGCAGGCAGGGAGGCAGGTGGGCAGACATGGGTCAGTCCTTGAACTTCAGCTCACTTCTACTGCCTTCCCAGGGCATTTAGCAGGGAGCTGGATCAGAAGTGAACAGTCAGGACATGAACGTGTGCCAATATGGGAATCAGGTATCACAATGGACAGTTTTGCCCACTTTGTTACAGCACTGGCCCCAAAGGCTTTTTTTTTCTTTTAAGCAAAAGCCTGATTTAGGTGTAATACCCCATGACATGAGTTTTTTCAGATTATTCATTTCATTCCCTTTTATTTTACGCATTTCAACTCTTCCTCTGCTATGGGAACTGTTGACTTAAGTAATCCTGTAGTTTGCATTTCTGTTATTTCTCCTGACCTAGTTTTTTAAGTTATATCTTTAATGTTCATATTTTCTAAATTTATACAAGTTGTGTTTTGCATTAAAAATTTATAGTGCTTTAGTGTTCTGTTTGCGTAAGTCAACAGAATATCTCACTCACTTATTTGATTAGTCATAACTTAATCTGCAAGTTCTTTTTAAAAATCCAGTTCTTTCTTGGGTGTGTCTTGTAGCTGTACTTTTTTCCACAGATGACTCATGTGAGCTCTACACTTGTTTCCTGGTTGATAATATTTGGAAGCATCGTATTTGAATGGCATTCTGATTGAGTTAACATTGTTGGCTAACGCTCTCACTGCCTTATAACTTCGGAAAAGAGACATTGATCTTAATGTTGCTATTAGAGGACAGTGTGATGTTTTTCTTCAGGTTTTGATTTACTTTGTATGTCTGGTGCCCTGGATTTCTTTGCCACCAAATTAAATTCTTTAATAGCAGTATAGCTCACTGCTAAACATTACCTATCAAATTTTGTAGTCTCTTGCTATGATTTATAGGATGAGATTATTCTGTGAGCTCTTGTAAATTTTTGTAAATTGTCTCAAATTTTTTATTTTTTTTAATAGTTAATTTGGGTAAAAAGGTTCAAGGGCTACAGGAAAGTGGATAAGACTATTATTTCCATATTGTTTCCTTCATGTATCTGAGGTAAAGGGAGATATTGAAGGAGAAGCCCCACCCGGTTTCCCACCCACCCCAAGTCCCGCATGTGGGGCATGCTCTGAGATACTCACTCAGGTGGTTTCAATAGTTCACCAGTTTTGAAATTGCTGCCAATCATGACTCTCCAAACACGATGAGGTCGTTGAAAAATCCACCGATTGACATTGTCCATCATAGTGTCTCTATTTGCCTGGTATTTTGTTGCCAACCTATAGCTGAGATGGTTGATTAACTTGTTCCGTCTTCTGTCCTTTCATGGTTAGGGTTCTGAGTCCTGCATTTCAATTAGGGAGATCCTAAATTTTTTACTTTTTGTTTTTTTAACTGTGATATTTATTAATGTTATATTTATTTATATTTACTTATTTATATATTTGTTAATGTTATATTTACTAATGTTACGTTAGATATGTCTATTTGTCTTCCATTCCTTAATGATTTTAGTTTGATCTCTAACCTTATTTCTCTATCAGTTATTAAATTTAGGTTTTAATTTCCCTGATACTTACTTATGCTTGTAATGCTTATGTTTTGTTCCTTATTTATTTAGAACTTCAAACTGCTATTTAACTT